GTGCAGCCAGAGTGCTCCTTGGAGGCCAAGATGGCCAACTTCGTCTCTCATATTTTGGACATATTGTAAGAAGGGACCAGTCACTGGAGCAGGATATCATATTAGGTAAGGTGAAGGGTCAGAGAAAAAGAGGAAGACCCCCAACGAGATGGATTGGTTAAGTGGTCGCATCAATGGACTCAAGTGTGGCAACAGTAGTGAGGTTGGCCCAGGATCGGGCAGTGTTTTGTTCTGCTGTGCATAAGGTAGCTATGGGTCGGTGGTACCAACTTGATGTCATCTAACAACAATAACGAACATTTACAGCCTCAGAAACCCTCTACAGGGTCACTATGAGTCAGAATCAACTCCATGGCACATAACCAATCACCACATCATTCATCATGGATGGACACTCTGGTTGTTTCCATCTTCTGGCTATCATGAAAAGTATTACAATGAATGCTGGTGTGCAGGTTTCTGTTGGCATGTCTGCCTTCATTTCTTCATCTAGGATTTGCATTGCTGAGTTATATGGTTATATATAAAAAGTCATATAACATTTTGAGATACTACCAAATTATTTTCCACAGCGGCTGCATCATTAAACATTCCCACCAAGGTACCAAGTTTTCTGAAACTTCACCAACTATTGTTAGTTTTCCTTTTCTTTTTTTTTCTTTTATATCATTGCCATTCTAATGGGGGTGAGGTGACATCTCACTGTGGGTTTGATTTGCATTTTTCTCATGGCTAATGATGTTGAGCATCTTTTCATATTCTTGTTGGCTATCTGAATGTCCTTTTCCTTGAACTGTCTGCTCAAGTCCTTTGCCCATTTTTTTTGACTTGATATCTTCTTGTTGTAAGCCTTTGCTGTTTATTTGACCTTGATGGTCTAGAAAATAATGTTGAGGTATCTGAGTTGGCCTTGAAGTGAACTATGTTTTCAATCTCCCCATCCTGACTCCAAGCTTTTCCAGGGAAGACACCTGTGTAGATGGTGTTGGGCACCTGGGTACCTGGCTGGGATTAGTGACACTGTGGGATAAGCACTGTACTGACAACCATAAGGTGGGCAGTTCAAACTCAATGGCTGCTCTTAAGAAACACTATACAGGGTCACTATGAGTTGGAACCCACTTGACAATGCTTAACAATACAACTGCTGGTTCAGTGGACTGAGCAGCCTGGGAACCAGATATATCAGTTTAGAGAAAGGGTGCCCACCCAGAGAGGGTATTTTTATCTCAGCTAGCTCTGGTCCGACCTGACACAGATCTCTCTTTGAAGAAACCTCCTACTTCAGGGAGTAGCTGTGGTCTCCTGGTCCTGGCCCACCTGCCCACCTGCCTCCCATGCACCCGAAAATCTTGTTCTCCTCTCTGACACTCTGTTCTTGTGTGGCTCCCTGAGCTAGACAGTTGGTAAAAATGCACATGTGAAGATGTCTTAATATTAAATATAATTAGATATTATACCACATGCAGGGCTGTATGATTAGTGAAATATATGATCATTAGTTATTAGATTAATGTGTCTACTTGTGTAACTGAAAGCCATTTGCAAGCCGAAATGAAATAGCTCAATTTGCCGTAATTGACTGATCTCCCAGAGAGAGAGTTGTACATTTGCTTATGTACAAGGCGATTTGTTCAGATGTCGCCCCAGATGCAAGACAAAGAGTAGGCTTTCGTTAAACCCTAAACTATGGGGCTGGTTCTGCCACTAGCTAGCTGGGGGCAGTGACCAGGTCATCCACAGGTATATCTGGGGGTTCCGCCAAATCCAAGTCTCTAAGTTGGGTCCCAGGTTTTCGTCTTGCTGAAGAGTTACTTTAGCCCAACTTCTTCAAGTGCCCCCCAAGGGAACATTGGCATCATGCTGGTCACAGACAAATTGAGCTGCCTGGTAGACACTTTTCCCTCACCCAGTCCCATTTTTCTTCCTGTTTGTGTGTATATTGGTTTCCAGGACAACTGAGCTGCAACTAACTAATAAAAACGATTGCAAAGTATTCTGCAAATAGAAGATACAACTGGAATACTTATGATTGTGGTTATGGTCTAATAATAACCAGATGCTAACGAGGGCGGTAAGAGATTAAATTAAAAATAGGCAAGCTGTTAGCAGGCAGAACTGGTTCACAGGGAGGGTGGCAGCTACCCAGCCTCCCTTCCCCCTGACCAGCAGGTACTACCTACTGCAGATGAGGTGGGGCTTCATTTTCCACCAGGAAGGAGTCAGGTGAGCACTAGTGAGGGAAGCAGGAGGAGCAAAGGGAGGAACAACAACCGATAAGTCAACAATTCCTTCCCCTGGGTAGCAGAACTCCGTTCTTGAAAAACATCTCCACAGTTCATTTGAATCCTCATATCCTTCTCAATGAGTGATTAAAGTGATATTCACCCCCATTCCACAGATAAGAAAATCAAGGCCCAGAAAAGTCTAACTTTAGGATCTTGGGCAGTTTGTTTTCCTCTCTGGATCCCAGTTCCCTTAGGAGCAAGAAGGTATGTTCACACTTCTGATTTCTATCATTAGAATCAGAATAACTCGTACCCTAATTTCTCTTCTAAAGATGTTTTCCCCTTTGCAGAGTGTTTAGTAATCAGTGCCTTGAAAAACAGCCTTAAGAGACTTTAAATGGAGGTTTCACTTGCCATTTTATTTATGAATCATGCAATCAATCAAATTAACAAGTATTTATTGAATATCTAATAGGAGCAGAATATGCTACTGCAAAAGAACAGAAAGCAGAAATTCAGGTTGTGGCCCTGTCCATACGAAGTTTCTGACCAAATATTGAATCCCAGTGCAACATACAATCACAGCTTTGTAATGCTGCAAGGGAGTAGGTGCCAAGTGTCAAGTGCAAGGCAGGATGAGGGCCTTCAGGGGAAAAGGTTCAGAAAAGGTGTCTGGGAAAGCCGGACAGGAGGAAGGCCAGAAATAGCTTGGATAAAATTTCCCCAGGCAGGACATTTGTGCAGCTATGTGTTCCCCTGTCCTGCCTCAGTCTCCCCACACCATTTGGTACCACCAGACACACTTTAAATTGTATTTATCCATCTTGCTTTTCTTCCCAACTACAACATAAACTCTGCAAGGTCAGAAATTTGGGTCTATTTGGTCCACTGCTGTATTATCATAATTTGGTATAATTTAGATGCTCAATGGAATCCGTATGACGCTGTAGGATAATGCACTGGACCGCAAGGTCTATTTGAACCACAAAGTCAGTGGTTTAAGCCCACTAGCCACTCGTTGGAAACCCTACCCAGGGTTGTTCTTAGTTGGGATCAACTCAACGGCACTTAACAACAACAACAGATGCTCAATAAATGATTGTTAAATAATTGAGTGCGTAAAGTTTACCTAGTGTCTGTCTTTCTACTCCTACTCTTCATCTCTTGCCTGGACAACTGCAGGAATCTCCTAGGAGGTCTCTCGCTCCAGAAATCCTGATCCTTTACTTGCCAATTCTTACGTATTTGTTTGTCCATGTTCTGTCCCTTACATTTATCCCAAGCTCCTTGAGAGCCAGATGCAATCTTTTCATTCAGCTAACATTTGTTAAGCACTTGCTAGGTATCAGGCACTGAACTGGGCACTGGAAACTCAAATGAGTAAGAAGAGCCACCACCCTCCAAACAATCACATTTGATAGCAATGAAAATAAAATTTAAAAGCAACAGCCTTCTAATACATGGCAGAAATACGCTACCAGACATTATTAAAAATACACAAGCAGTAAACAACAGATTGATGACTGGGACCTCCTAAAAACTGGGCACATATATGCATCAAAAGATTTTGCCAAAAGAGCCAAAAGGGAGCTCACAGACTGGGAAAATAATTGTTTGCAACAGTATGTCAGACAATGAACTAATCTCAAAAATTTATAGAAACCTACAACACCTATAGAAGAAAAAGACAGACAATCCAATAAACAAATGGGCCAGGACATGAACAGACAATTGACCAAGAAAGACATTCAGACAGCCAACAAATATATGAAGAATGTTCACGATCATTAGTCATTAGAGAGATGCAACTCAAAACAACAATGAGATATCAACTCATACCACATTAATAGCAAATTTCAAAAAACAAAACAAGAAATGCTGGTGAGTGTGTAAAATGGTTCTACATTGCTGGTGGGACTGTACAATGGTTCAGTCACTATGGACAACAGTATGGCACTTCCTCAGAAAGTTAGAAATAACGTATGACCCAGCAGCCACTCTATTTGGTCTATATCCACAAGAAATAAGAGTAAATACATACACACAGATGTTCATCACAGATTTTCACAATAGCAAAAGGGTGGAGATTACCTAAATGCCCAACAATGGAGGAATGGATAAACAAACTTTGGTACATACACACAATGGAATACTATGCAATGTTGAAGAATAACAATGAATCTGCAAAACACGTGGATGAACCTGGATGCTGAGTGAAATTAGTTAATCACAAAAGGACAAATATTGTATGAGACTAGTGGTTATGAATCAGACTGCGAATTGCAAGGTCAGCAGTTTGAAACTACCAGTTGTTCTGTGGGAGAAAGATGAGGCGTTCTGCTCCCGTAAAGATTTACAGCCTCGGAAACTCTGTACAGGGTCGCTATGAGTCAGAACCGACTCCATGGCACATAGCCACCACCGTCACAAAAACTCAAGAAAAGGTTTTCATACTAAAATAAACATTCTTTGATGTTTACCAGGGGTGGGAGGGAGAGGAGAGTAATTCACAGGCTAGAGGGTATATGGGGAGGGCAATATACAAGAAAGGTGAAGACAATATACAAGAAGAGGTAGGTTGGCATAAGATGGATGAAGTTAGGTGAAACAGTGAGGTAAGCAAAGGGCTAAGGGGGATAGAGGTAAATAGTGATATATACACAACCTTGGAACAACAGTGTTCTGTGGGTAGATGCATGGTCAGAGACGTCTAGGCATGAGTCAAAATGATTTGCACTCCGGTTTTGTTAAAATGCCCATTTGTGCCCACAGCTGATGACAACATTGAGCATAACGTGAAATTCTTCTGTCAAATAGACAAGTGACAGTAGATTATATGGCAAATCATTTGCAAATTAGCCATGGCTCTGCCTGTGAAATAATCCACGACAGACTTGGGTTACAAAAACTTTGTGCGTGATGGGTACCAAAACAGCTCATGGAAGAGCACAAACAGAAATGTTTGGACATCTGCAGGCAAAATGTGGACTGATATCCGAAGGAAGGTAAAAGTTTCTTTAAAATAATCGTTACTGGTGATGAGACATGGATTCGGAACTGACTCGATGGTACTTAGCAACAATATATATATATATATATATACACACCAGA